AAGAGATAAAATATTATAGTAATAATTATACAATGATCTATTGAAGAATGAATTAAAAGAAAAAATATGTTTGTTAACAAAATTTTTTAAAAATTAGAAGAAAAAACACCACAAAATTACATTATTTTAATAAATTTGTTTGAAAAAAAATAAAAACAATTATTCTTCAAATAGGAATGAGAGTGCTTTGATTTTAGTGAAATAATGTAATTTTGAGATATTTTTCTCTTATTTTTTTGAAGGTCATGTTGATTAACACTAATATTATAAAAAATACTAAAATGTTAAAAAATGCTAAAATATTTCTTTTAGAAAGTGAACTTTAATTTTGATTGAATTAACACAAAAAATAATTATAAATGCAATCATGTAAGGTAAAAATGTACGTCAATGTCATAAACAAAATTTTAAATTATTTTATAAAATATTAAGAAAGAAAATCGAAAAAAAAAAACTAAAGAAGACTATAAATTTAAAGTTAATTAAATAAAGAATCAGAAATTTCTTTTTTGGGGCTTAATAAATAAGGAAATGTTTAAGAACCTCAATTCTTAATTAATTAAATTGTCGTCAAGTTCATTTTATTTAAAATCATATTCTTATTTTTTGAAAACTTTTTATTTAAGTCATAAATATTCTCTTTACATTTGGAAATAATCCTTAAAATTGATACTATAATACAAAATTTTTAACAAATAAAAATTACAATATCATATTAACTATTTTTCAAAAGTTTAGGGGGTGGCTGCCCCATGTCCTTTATTGGATTATTTTTTGAAAACTTTTTATTTCAGTCATAAATATTCTCTTTACATTTGGAAATAATCCTTAAAATTGATACTATAATACAAAATTTTTAACAAATAAAAATTACAATATCATATTAAATATTTTTCAAAAGTTTAGGGGGTGGCTGCCCCATGTCCTTTATTGTATCCGTCCCTGATTGAGGGTTATATTGGAATCGTAATCTAATAAACAAATGTTATAATTACAATGTTGTATTGGATTCTAAATTAACAATCATGATGTGTCATTATATAAATATAATATGTTATTAAATATGTAAATATAATATTATGGATTAACTCTTAAATAAAATGATCAATTATATAATGATATATCATATTATAAACTTACTATATATAACTGTATCATTTTTGAATTAGGTATTTTCACTACAAGAAAACCTAGCTTCACCGACCACATATCACCGAGGTAAGAAGTTTTCTCGGTGAAGCATCCATTTACCGATAAGAATTAAGTTTGCAACTTGAGAAACAGTAGAAATGGCAGTAAGATACATTATTTATTGTACAGACGTAACACTCGTCGGTAATTTACTAAAATACATACGTGTTACTTGTTGGTAATTGCAACCAACACACCGGCCGGTGGGGGAAGGACGGAAATGCACATCACCGACGAGAAGTACGCCTGTAAATTTAATTTTGGAACGAGAGTCTCGCCGGTAATTGAGGATCAATTTCCAACGTCCATCTTCTCGGTAATTTCCACTCCCAATGCACCCCCCTCGCCAACCAGCTGGCTGCCTGCGTCAGGGGTGCAGCTTTTTGATGAAATTGCCAACATAGTTCTTGTCAGTAATTTGCCCTTCAGCAACTCCCCGCGAATCCGGCTGGTGGCCATTGGTGTTGCAGCTTTTACTTTGTTTACCGATAAGATATAGGTTGGTAATATGTGCATTGCCAACTTGATGCTCGTCGGTGATTGTCCAATCAACGGGAATCCTGATGCAA